AGTTGGAGTACTGCGTCCAGTACTGGGCGCCGCACTTCAAAAGGTATGTGGCCAGCCTGGAGAGGGTTCAGAGGAGGGCCACTCACTTGGTGAGAGGGCAGCAGGACAGGCCCTATGAGGAGAGACTGAAGGACCTGAGCCCGTTCAGCCTCAGCAAGAGGAGGCTGAAGGGAGACCTAGTGGCTGCCTACAAGCTCATCAGGGGAGATCAACATCAAATAGGTAGAGCCCTTTTCTCCCCAGCACCACCTGGGGTGACAAGGAACAATGGTAACAAGCTGATGGAGAACAGGTTTAGGTTAGAGATCAGAAGGCAATATTTTACAGTTAGGGTGGCCAAAATCTGGAACCAACTTCCCAGGGAAGTGTCCTCGCCCCTACCTTGGGCAAATTCAAGAGGAGGTTGGATGATCACCTGTCTGGGGTCTTGTGAACCCAGCATTCATTCCTGCCTGTGGCAGGGGGTCAGGCGAGATGATCTGTTCAGGTTCCTCCTGACCCTAGCTACTATGAAACTATTATGAGATGACCCTTTTTATAGCAAAAATTCATTATATATAAGGTAAATTCACTCTTATGCGATCGGTGTGGTGGAAGCCCAGTCAACTGCTTTGTGTGGTGCATTGTGGGAGTGATGCACACCAAAATATAGTCTGCTGTGTGGATCTGTGCTCCTCACTCTTTGTCTGCGACACGTGTTTCTGTAGTTGCCATCCCTATTATGGCTTCTAAGCGTACTACTACCTTATCTCCTACCCTTCCTCCTGCTCCATCAATGAAGCGCAAGACAACTCCACTAACACTGGAGGCAAAATTGGAGACCCTTCACCACTGTGTGCTTGTGTACGGTCTGTTGTTGGTGAGTATCAAAATTGTCCTGTAAAAGTGGTAGAAATGGGTCTGGAGGGCAGTATAGTCGAGGTTTTGGAACATATCTCTATTTGTTACACTGTAAAGTGGGTTGCCTTTATGCGAATTCTAGTTAAGTGCTGTTTTCCAGGAACTTGTGTATAGCCTAATGCAAGGGAAACTTGTATAGCTAGAAAGGACAAGTATTGTAAAGTGATCTGTTATATATTTTATACACACTCTGCAAGCATATTCATCACAGAAATGTACCTGACAAGCAGAACGGAGAAAGTTTGCTAATCTCTGTGAATCAATTTTAGGTGTTAAACCAACATCCACAGACACATCACTGTTGCTTCTGGGCCCTATAAAAAGACACAAGACTTCAAACAAGGACTAAAGTATAAAATCAATAACCAAAGATAGCCAGAGGATCCATGAAAGGATGACAGTAGACAACACTGCTTCATCAGTACAATGACAGAGGAAAGAGAAGCTCCTGGAGGCTGACCTCTTTCCAGTCAAAGCAGGTCCAAAAGGGGGAAAATTCTAGCACCTGTTCCACTTCAGATTCAATAGGACAAGGAAGTAGTTTAAGTATTTAAGGCCAGGGGTACTAACCTCCAGATACAATGGCACTTGCTCCTGGATGCTGTGTCCATTTTTCTAGAGTCTCTGTCTCATCAGTCTGAATGTCTCTCTCAAGATTATCCTCATTGCATTGAACATATGCCTAAAATAAAGATCAGAAGTCAAAGGTCTGCCTGAGCTTTCATGGTATACCAAGCTAATGCAATTAATGCATGCCAGTTCTGTTTGCACATGCTGTCGGTTGCATAATGATATGGCCAACATCACAGCTGGACACCTTTGGCCCCCCGGTCGAAATAACTGGCTTTTAATCTTCATACGGTCTTCTAAGTCAGGTACTTACCTGTTTGGTGTTTCTTTTGCCAAAGTTCCTGATGTACATTTCATATTCATTCATTGGAGGCAAATCGAGTAAAGAAAAGCTGACTGAGAAGTCCAGATCAATTAGTCGGAGTAGTTCTGAACTACGTGTCCTTTAAAATGAATTAAGATGAATGAAAAAAACCCAGAAAAATAGTTAAGGTTTAAAGTTCATGCACATGGTATTTTTAAATAGCCTTACAGAATATTGTACTGCAGAGCTAGCAATCTGTTGAGGCCTCCAACATTAGTATTTATTAAGGCATTCATAGGAGAAATATTTATACTAGAATTTCAGTTAATTGTGGCAAGAGGAAAAGAACTGTAGTTGAAATTCAAGACTTGTTTGCAAACCCAGGGAAAATGTGTTATTACAGTTTAATGGGCCAATTGTACAAAACAAGCTTTCAGCTGACCCATCTTCAGGTCTAGTATCTCCCCCAACTATACTGTTTAATAAAAACATCTCCAAAATATCACTGCCAGAGCTTTTACTCTTTTAATGACAACGGTCAGCAGATGTTGCTGAATATAAAAAGATGGCTGAATCTCATTGGGCAAATCTACAAGACTTTCAAAATTATGGAGGAGGCTGAGGCCCATATTTCTGCACTGGGAAATTCTGCAGTAACTGGTAACTCCATTTCAAATCAGCAAATGCAGAGAATAAAAATTCAGTCATTGAGGGGACTTGCAGGATAGATTAAGATGTAACAATTTGGGCTTGACTGGCTTTCTGAAGGACTTTTGGAAAACATAGATCTATTTAATTAAAACAATTTTTGTCTGAATTATTAAAACTCCTATTTGTAACTGATCTTGAAAGAGTGGGAGAGGACACTGTTCTTTAAACCCTAAGTTTCCAGCACTTGCAAAACTGAGATTTCACATAATTAATATTTTAAACCGTGACACCAGAGAGAGGATCCTACATTTGGCATGAGAATTGAAAAAAGCAGACTGGAGAAATAATAGAAGTAGCTAAGAGGAAAATTACCAAGGATAAAAAGGACCTGTATATTACACTTCATTTTCAGAAGAAGGCCAAGTACTTGGTTTTGCCATTGCAGGAGAAACTGAAAATTGTGATTCTCTCAGTGTTCTTGTAGTTTCATCTGGGTAACACACACTGCTATATGGAGACTGACCTTTTTAACTGTGAAAGACACTGGGTGTGTCTACACATTCATTAATGCGCTGTAGTTTCATTAATGTGCCATAGTTACTGCTGTAGTCTCATTAATGGACAGGTGGTCCAAGGGGGCTATGCCCCCCTGCTGCTGACATAGCCGGGGTAAGGAGGCACGGGACAGTGCCGCTGCACTGCCTCAGACAAGTGGCGCGTAGTGGGGGAAGCCGCTCCAGCCTCCCTGCGCCTCCCGACCAAGCCATGGCTTCACCCCACCCTGCCCCGGCTGGGTGAGCAGCAGCAGGGCTTGGGGGTGGGTACTTGCACCAGGATCGGGGTGGGGCTAGCGGCAGGGGCTATGGGGAATTTTAAGGTGGCTGCAGCCCCCCATAGTCCCTGCTCCACTGCACTCTGCGGGACGGGCGGAGCCAGGGCTGTGCTCTGGGCTGGGGCTAGCCATCTGGAGTGCAGCCCTGGCTCTACCCACCCCATAAAGCACAGCCCAGTAGCAGGCAGCTGGGGTAGCTTCCCGGACCACAGTCTGGCCCAGCCTGCCCCACCCCGATCTGGGGGCACACACCTGCTTCCATGGCCTCCCAGAGCGGCAGCAAGAGCTGCTGGAGGAGCCACCAGAAGAGCAGCAACCAGACTGGCGATGCACAGCAGCGAGCAGTGGCAGGAGTCCCCCTCCCCCCTGCCCCAGCCCCAATTCCCTCCTCGCTGTGGGGGCATTGATCTGCTCTCCCTCTCCATCCACCACAACAGACTTATCAGCTGGAGGTAGCTGTGTCCAGCGTCGTCAAGGACTTCTGCCTGTATAGTCTACGGATAAATCTCCGAATCTCTCCAAATCTATTTGGAGGCTTCCAAATCAATTCGGACCTTTTAATGGGTCTCCAGATTCTATTTGGATTCAGAGATTCAGCCACTAAATCAGACCAAATCTCCTAATCAAATTGGCTACCGAAGCTTTGCATGGCCCTTTTCAGACTCAAGGAACCCCTCAGAAAATGACAGTCTTAGCTTTAACTCAGTATTTTGAAGAAAGAAAAATAACAGAGCAATGTTTCTGTTGCAAAGAACTCAGGAAGAACACCACGGCAGAATTTTTTTTTGAAACAATGGCTTCCTATTTGAAATCTCTGGGTTTATCTTGTGAATCATGTATAGATGTCTGCACATGGAACAATGTTAATATTGTGCAGCTCTCTGCATCGCCCTTAAAATAATCTCCCAGCCTCCTAGTTGAGAAGCACTGCGCTACAGGCTATTCAATTGGGTGAAACTCCAGAATTTATATTCCTCAATACCTACGCTATGAAAGGGAATATAATAACCCTAAGAAATGTTGTGTGAAATGACAAATATGTGTTTCACAATTCTGGAAGAGAGTATGCTTTGCAATAAAGTGTAGTAATCTATACAACTTTAGTATGTAATTACAGATCAATCTGGATCCAGCACTGTAATTGTAAAATCTTCTGGAACACTTTCCCCTGCACCCCTTCAGAACTTTGCCAAGCCTCCTGGGACCCTAAGCAGTATGATATACATTTTTATTAAAGAAAAAAGTCACTGGCTAAAGGTTTAACCATTGATATACCTGCCAAGCAAAGGAACCAACTATCATCTAAAATTAAAAATAAGCTTCTCTTGATGTGTGCCTCTGATTTGACTGGAAAATTATTAGGAATATTTGAACCCATTTAAAATTATTTCATTCTGGCACTGTAGTAGCAATGGATATTGGCTCTGTAAGGAAGTGGTTACCAATTTGGTTTACATGCTATGGATTTCATAGCTCAAATATTTTATTCTGGAAGATGATCAACAGTAAAATTAATCTTTTTATGTCATCTGACATAATACTGAAAGAAGAATGCGGTATTTTAGGACTAGTACTACCTTATGGAATACTGATTATTCCAAGAAGCTGTTATTAGAGACAGCCATAATAGAGACTAAAAGACTCATTATTCAGTAGTGGAAACCAGGATCCAGTTCAGAGGTGGTATACAGAATTACATATAGATTGGCTACATTGGCATAAATAATAAATCCATAATAAAACTGAAGTATGAGCAAACTGCATAGAAATAGCAAAATATGGTTGGTGGGACAAACAAATTATTTATATCATAATGTATTTCAAACATTATAAAAAGAATTTACAGTTTAGGTTGTGAGTTATTTAACAAGTTTATGCAATCAATTCTTTAATGACACTTACTTCTGCTTACTGGCTGTGTTTCGGTTACTTTGTCGTTGGTTTGCCAGTTCAAAATCCATAAACATTCCACAATGAGAGCCTCTGACAGAAGAATCTGGCCTTTCTATGTAGTATTGTAAAGCTTTATTAGTGTATTAAGTCAAATATAAAAATGCCAAATAAAAGCAAGTATGAAGATCAACAAAACTGTCATGCTGCAATGGACAAGTTCAGCGGACCTTGTGGGACAGATGGATGATGCCCAGTCACTCCAGGGGCCAGATGTGGCACTGATCCGGCTGCACAGTGGAAAGGAGACATGGCTTGGCCCCCTGGTCTGACTGTGTGGGGCTTGGGAATTTGGCAACAGGTGGGGGGTGGGTTTCCACATCTGTCAGCAGCCTTAAATTCTAGTCCCCACCCTTCCTGTTGTGTGGGCTTTGAAAACTCAATTGACTTCTAAGGCAGTTCCTAATCAAGGATAATGATAATTAGCTAGCTCAAAGGAAAGCTACACAGATTCATTAGATAATGTTCGTAAAGTGCTTTTCAAAACTAAAATGCTATTTAAGTGCCAAATACTAGCATCAGGGTGACCTGTAATTTACCAGACGTAAACTAATGGATTCAGAAGATTAAGAAGCAGAGATGACTGTATAATGTACAATAAATAATCTCTCTCATAGAATGTAGCATAACTGGAAACATAAATATGACATTTTAAAATAAATAACTGTTCTGTAGGAGTTTCCAATTAACTCTGCATTTCAGAAAGAAATATAGGAAACCTGCAATATATAAATTCATATATAGAAAGCTTTAAAAAATGTCCACTCTTATCTGAATCTACACTGCAAAACTTAACATACAGACTTCCACTTTCAGAAGTGGAACAATTAGTTAATTTAAGAAATTAGTTAATTTAAACAATTTAGTAGTAAGAACCTAAGGGCGCCTATACATGTGCAGGGAGGCTGTTCCAATGAGCTGTAATTACAGTGTGATAATTACTACTCTCTTGCAGACTCCAACATCACATGTATCAGCGTCCCCACTCTGAAAAATGGTCGCGGGGGCACTTTAAAGTTAATTTTTCACTTAAAACCAATGCCATTTTTCAGTTCAGGGATGCTGCTACACATGATGCTCCATGTACTTTTAATTAGAGATGCTCTTGGAGCCACTGTAATTAAAGCCCCCCTGACCTAAGCATTTCTATAAATGGCCTAAAAATCTACCACAGCTAAAATTCTTAATCTTCAATCAAAATTGAATTAAAATCTCCTGATGACATACAAGTAAAAAAAATTCCAATTTTTTCTTCCACAACTGTGTCAGTCCTGAAATTTTAACAAGAGTAAAAATTTATAAAAGCTTTTAGATACAGATCTTGTACATTGATCCATATGGGTATACTGTTCAAAGATAAGTCAGTCTTAGCCAATAGAGTAGATTCAACTATGAATGCCAAAGAAAGTGGATCTACTCAGCAATATGATGTTATTGTTTTATATTATTATTTTACTTTTGATTTTCTCTTTTTTGAACATATCAGATCGTGACAAACAGAGGGCAACATCACAGAAGCAAAAACTTTCAGTTCCCCTGCACTCCAAATGTGGAAACACAGGATATTAAATGATAGTCTACGTTTTCATACTTTACAAAGTAAACCGATATTAATTAGCTACATGACTGTTACAATACTTACACACTTGGGGAAGCCCGTCAATATTTTGCATGTAAGTCAGACCTTTAGAACAAAGAAGTGAACACTAAAGCTGCTATTTATTTAATGGGGAGGAAAAAAAGGATTGATATTCAGTCACGTACCCATGACTGGTTCCCTTTCATCATCTTTTAGGATTTGCTTTGGCAGTAAGGTACCAATTCTCTCATTTTCTGCATTAATTGCTCTTTGAATTTCTTCTATTTCTAATTTTTTGGAAACAGGAATTGCTTGTAGCTGGTGTTCTGCATCTCTGTCCTCACTATCATTGTCTTCATCAATATCATCAAAGTCATCTTCATAATCCTATTAAAATTGTTTTAATAAGTGTTAAACTTTAATAGTATTAAACGTTCAAAATCTAGTTACACTAAAGTCAGTAGTAAAACTGGCTAACTTTAATGGAGTCAATGGATTTCACTGGTAGTAGATGTGTGCTGCACACTGTTATTTTGAACATTTTTTTGGCTAAATTCCAGCATAGAGAGCTCCTTTGCATTTTAGTCCTCTAACCAAATTGCAGGTTCAACAAAGAAATTAATATAATTTTTTATATTAATGACACTATGGCAAGTTATAACAAAATGTCAAATTTATGTTTTCCTCTATGCAACAGAGTATAATGGGACGATACACAAACATTCAAAATATCTACTCAAGAAAAGCAGAATAGCTAGATTCTAGAAAGCTAAAACAGGTGAAATTTAAGAAGCTAAAATACCAACCCTGCTAATGGAAAAGTCAAACTTGGTTACCAGCCTACCCCATCAAAGACCCAATAAATAATATGGTTTACAAGTAAGTTTTTATAAAACTGTTAATTTCCATGGTATTTTCTGTCAAGAAATTTAAAGGTACACTGCCTGTTACTGAAAATGTAAAAGTACACAAAACATGTTCATTCATATTCTGCAATAATTAGGACTAATCATAACAGTGAATGTAATTAATTGCTATACATAGATTTAAAAATTATTACAAACGGACAAACCCAATTATACATACTTCAAAATCATCTTCATAATTTGTTGAATAGTTATAACCTGCTTCTGCATTGCATGTGTTTACTTCTTCAATTTCCTGAAAAAGGAAAATAGAACAGCAAAATAAATTAAGCCGTTCCATAACTTTAGAATATATTTCTTTTTAGTCTGCCAAAACATTAGCAAAATACTGTATCTTCTTGAATAATAGGTTTAAATTGTAAAACTAATGATCCACCAATTCAATTCATAATAAATAGGCATATGCAGCAACGAGTGGTAATTATGAATACTACACAATAAAGGAAAACAAGGTAGAGGTCAATTGAACCATGTCCTATGAAAAACAGCTGCTTTTCCTATTATTTTTTTTAGAAAAGACTAAAAAGTATTAGCTATGCGTATTTTCAATACCCCACCCAAAGTTAATAATGCTTCCACCTAGGTTTTATAACAGAATAAAAGTACTCTACTTTCCAAAGAACTCAACAAAAAACACCCTTATTATGCTTATCATAACTAGACTCAAATTTTATTCGAGTAGTTTAGGTTTAGGATTAACAGCTTTGAACTGGGAAATTAAAGTACTGTGCCATGAATTTAACAGGTGAACTGGAAATCTGCATTCAATAATAACTGCATCTGTCAAAACCAGACTCATCTTTATGTTAGATTTACAGAGAGAATATTTTTATTATTATCAAAATGGCCAAAAATAAATAACTCTGCCTTAGTCCTTAACCCTTGATCCTTCACCCTTTTCAACCAGTCTCACTAAATATTCTTATGAGTCAAAAAGAAAAAGACAGAGTAATCTACTCAATGTTTATACTTTCAGGTTGCACTTCAAAAAGGGATCTTGAAAGAGCATAGGACAGCAATAAAATTAAGAACTTATGCGGAAAAGCCTACTGCCCAAATACAATACTAATAATCAGTTGTTTTACAATTAAGGACAATGAAGCACAAACTACTAGAAAGAATAATGTTGTCACGGTTTCCAAGTTAATGGCACTTCTGACTCCTCACAGATTCAGATTCACATTGTTTATCCCATAGTTATATTTGTTCCAGCTAAAAATATTCCTTTTCTGATCCATACAGGCAAAAATGCAATCTCTAATAAATCCTTAATGACACAGATACTCTTTATATAATTGATACAAGTCTCTGAATATTCCATGTGTACAGAGCATCTGTCACATGTCAACATAATACTCTTTGAATGCTTTTAAAACAACACATCTGTCACAGTATTTTCAATACAGTAAAATCTGAGGTCTGTCAATAGTTGTAAAAAAATAGTAAAAAAATCATCCCATTGTCCAATACAACAGAAAGGTTTATGTCCTTTTTCAATTTACTTGCATCCTAATTATTCTACATAAAAATATTCTGTAGAATTGTATGGGAAAAATGTAGTTTAACTTGCAAGGTAGGCTATGTAATATTTCCATGGTCTTAAGAAATCAAGAGAAAATGAAAAATGTCAACTATCCTTGCATGTTCTTCCTCACTTGTTTGCCTCTCTTTATTGAACTTAGTGTGTGCAGATACTTTTCTTCTTCAATGTACTTTATAGACAGGAAGGTTCTCACAAACCAAGTGAAACCACGCAGCATGTTAAATGGCAACAGGAAAATTGATTCGTCTGCACTGAACAGACATAGTAGGTTCTATTTCTGGATTTTTTGGCAAGTTTCTCTCACAAAATACTATCTTTGTGAGCAAGTTTACATAGTTGAATGAACCTTTTAATTTTTTTTTTACTTCCTTCAATGTCTTATGACCTGACTTTATTGAAAAAATGATTACCTATTTGTTCTAAAACTTATATTTAAACCAGATCTGCATTCACTAATCTACTAAAAGCCCCTTAAAAAGATCAGGTACATTAAATAGCCCTGCTTATAACTTTTCTGTTTGAATTACATTATCATCATTCTTTACTTCATTAGATAACAATAGATGTGTTCTAGATCCACAGAAGTCAACCAGTCAGATCAGGTCAGATCTGTATGACTGAAGACTAAATAGTGTAAGTGGCTTCTGCTGGTGGGTTTTACTCCCTGAGGAGCACTCCCAAATAAAACAATCTTTAGGTGACCAACAGTCATTTGGGAGAATAGCCAGTTCTCCCGAAGACAACAGTCTTTAGGTGACCAACAAGCAAACAAATAAAGAACTAAACCTTTCTGCCCTGTTCCAGGCACTAGGAGGGGAGCTCTTGGGCTACAGCTAGGGACCTACCAAAATTGTGATTGCATGATTTTCACAGAAACGACAATTACAGGCAGGCTCTGCGAGAAAATGTGGCCTTCATGATATTAGCAGGCTTGCAGCCAAAAAAAGAAGAAAAAAAGAGAAAAAATTTACCAGCAAGCAGCAAAAATATGCAAGCAGCCCTCACCACCCACCCTCCCTATTCCTCCCCTCAAGATGGCACAGCTTCCCAACTTTTTCTCTGTTTGCTGGTGAGTTTGCTTTGGGTTTTTTAGCAAGCCTGCCAAAAAACGCATAGCATGCTGCTTGGGGATGGTCTGAAACCACAGCTTAATTACCCTGATTAAGACTGGGGAAGCCATGAATTCATGCTTAACACAAGGATTAATGGCTTTCCTGGGCTTAATCAGGATAATTAAGCCATAGTTTCAGGCCATACTGCAATCTACTGGGAGGGGCAGGACTGCCAGGGCCCCTCAGCCAACCAGAAGTGTGGGGGACCCCACAGCATTCAGTCTGTGAAAGTGGCGGTTGCCCTGGAATCTGCCTGCAAAATTGGCTGGTTGCCTCCTTGAGTTCAGTAAACCCCTAGCTATACCCCTAGCACAGCAACCTGATCCCTTCTTGTAGCAAGCAGTTCTGCTCACAGGTTGCTCCCTCCTCCTTTGCTTATTCTTCTGGGAGTTTAAGATTCCTAGTGGGACACTCACTTCCTACTCAAATGCTCTGCTGCAGGGCTCTCTCAACAGGGCTGACTGTTCCCTCTAAAGGGAATAGAAAGCCCCGTTACAAATAGAAAATATATACTTATATTTAAGAATAGGAAAAGAAAGCAACCCAGGTAATAATTCTACTGGTACGGTCTAAGTAACATGCAAGCATTCAAAACAAATTTTGAAAAAAGAATAATTAAAGATATGGAGACAAATGAAAAGTAGGATAAAATACAGTTCTGGTAAGCTGAAATTAGATCATGACAAACTAACTTTTTTTTGTTAGATAAAGGATTTTCCAAAGAATTTCTAGGACAAGCTGAAAGCTGATAATTTGGCACAACAGAGGAGGAGAAAGACTTCATTACATTAGGATGACTACAACTGATCAATGTGAGGGACCATGTAGAAGTGATCTTGGGACAAATCAGGTGAAGTATTTACAATAGGGGTAGGGAGATACTGTTAACATTAGACAAGATACTGGTGAGACCTCATCTGGAATAGTGAGTACAGTTCTGGTCAATCATGTTCAAGAAAAAGGAGTTGATCATCCTAGCTATCTTACAGAAAGAGACTAAACCAAATTGGCTTGTTTAGCTTAGCAAGCGGTATCTGACTGAAATATGACTACTGTCATACACATCAGAAGAGGTAAACTTCAGAGAAAGAAAAGCATTATTTAATTTGAAGGACAATGTTGGCAAGATAAGGAAAAGGAAATAAGTTATAATAAATATCTTTCAACTGGAAATTAGAAGATCATCTCTGGCTTTATTAGGAGTAGCCAGAGCAGAAAATTGAACCAGTTTTAAAATAGAGATTGATGCATTTTTTAAAGGAATTATATGACATAATTTCTTAAAATAGGAGAGGGCTAGACTCAATACAATCTTACTACAGTCTTACTAAGTTCAGTAGGGGTCAGAAGTGGAACTACCAGGGTTTGGGCCCTGACCAGCAGCACCAGCTAGGGACCAGGCTGGTTGCAGCAGTGGGGGCAGTCAGACCATCACAGGTGTTGCTTCATCACCTATTTACCCAAAAGTTCTGTGTGTGTAGCTACCAACACAACAATCCACCACAGAATTTTAGATTTATTGGATGAATTAGTGATGTGGTGTCAACATTATATAATTCTTTCCTACATAACTCTGTTTAAAATATACTAAAATGCCGCAAAATTTAAACATTCTGTTTTGGTGACTTAGAAGTTCACAACCTGGGTGAAATAAGCAAACCACTATTTTGGTAGGGGTTTTGGAAAACTGTTAAAATGTATTTTGATCCAGATTGGCCCTACACCTAGTGACAGCCTTCACGCATTTAACTATCTGTCCTCCTCCTTGCACCAACTATGTCACTAGGCATATATGAATTTCACTGAAGATAATATGCCAACTGCAAATTATTTAGCATATATCAGTTGCTTGCTACTACATAAAACTTTCCATTCTTTCTGTAAATAGTTTATATGCTATGTATCATTAGAAACTTCTCCAAATTTGGGGCTTTATTTTTTCCAAGCATAACATTTTGAATGAATGACTACATTAAACCAGTAAGCAAACTGTTAAAAAGTTAATCCATTTTCCTATGTTACATCATGTTTACTTAAGAAACTTTTTAATGGACATACATCTTATCTTTTTCCATTGCACCATCATCTTGAGATAACATCTATAGTCTAGTAACTATGATACTACATAATTCCAGCAAGCGGGGTGCCTTCTAATATTCCGAAATGAATATTTTACCTGTTTTGTATCCTCTTTTTTTCCCTTTGCATAACTCTTTCCTGGATCTTTCACACTCCTAGAAAGAAAAAGAATTTCACTATCAATCTGAACTGAGTCAGAGAAAAATACTACATTGAAGAAAACAGTTCTTTAGTATAAAAAGAAAAAAGCAGTGCTGAAACCTGCCAGTAAACTCATATACTTCCACAAAAAAGCTGCCAGCTACTATATTCTTAGCTTCTTAGTGCAGGCCTCAGATATGGGACAGTAAGCCTATAGCCAAGTGATTAATCAGTTGAGGATTGCATAATCGCTCCCCAAATATACTGCCAGACAGGTCCTATTACAATTCTTGAACAGAAATTATAGGGAAAATGAAGGAGAAAAATTAATCCTGGACATGTATTTATTATTACTAATACTACTGACATATGATTGATTTAGCATAATGTATTCTTATGCAGAAAATCAGAGATTTACAATACCAACCAGGTCTTTTATTTTGAAATTAGGAGAAGTATGAAGACCGCACAATCAGCCCTTGAAAATGAGAAGAAAACCAACAAACTTGGTTGGTTTCTGTCAGCCCATCTTACTATCTTGCAAGTTGAGTTTATGAATTTCAAACACAGCCTGCTTCAGACAAAGTAGCAGAACAGTTGTTGAGACTGTTTTACAGAGAAGGCTGAAGGCATGACAAAAAAGAGTGGAAGTAAATAAGTGGGATTTATTCTTACACTCTAGGAAAGAGAAACCCCTTTCATTTTAAGGTCTTTAAAGTATTTAAAATGAGAAATGAAAATTACTTGCCTACAGTTCTGCTTCTCTGAAGATAACACTCTGTGAAGTTTCCTTACTTTACTTTGTAAAGCAAGTACTAAATGACTGCACAGTGCCAACTGCGCAGTGGTGTGCATGTGTGAACATGCCCCATAAGGCATAATAGGTAGTTTCTTAAATAACCTTAATGTTGTAAAAATGCTTACAAAAAGACCCTAGTATGCTTCATAGATATGCTGCAGTGAAAACTGCTGCTGGATACTGACATTTAAAAATAATGTCCATGGTGGTGATTTTATTTGTGACTTTTATATGAGTGACATGTATTGTATACTGTGTGATGATTTTAAACATCCAAAAGTACCTTTTGTGCTGGTAGCTGATTTCTATATCTTGTCTTGGGCTCTGTCCTTGGTTTTTGTGCTCACTGTTCTGTAAAAAATTGAAAGAAAAGTTCAATTCATAGTATTCCGATTGTAAGAAATCCAGTGAAAAAAATGTATATGAGCTATTATAACCCTTTTATAGAATGAAAAGGGTGCTGCAAAAATCCTTCATTTCATAAACAACCCATAGGGCATACTGTTTTAGTCTTGTTATGCTCCACTGCTTGTAAAAGAAACTACCGCATATGAATTGTGTTGGACTAAGGCCCTTTTGAAAGGAAAGTAATTTCATTAAGCAAAGGAAATAGCAGAAACATCAATAAAGCAAATGTTGAATATGTAGCTTGTAGACTTGTACTGAAAAGGCTGAACATTTGCTTGATCCTTATGGCTAATGCTTGAGCCCTGCTGCATTTCTATATAAATGAAGGAAAGGGGCATAGGAGCTGCTGCTTTTGTGCAACAGGTAGGCTGAATCACTTAGAATACATAACAGCCTGAGTGAAACCTGTCCGACTTTTAAGGAGATCAGCTCCTCAGAGCATTAGCACATATACTGTGGTCTGTAGCATGTACTCAGTGGAAGCTGGCAGTACTCTTCTTCATAGGGACAGAAGAGTTCATTCCACTGTACATGCCACTGGTTCATTTTGAGGAATTTTGTCCCTGTCAGTTGGATCTTTACAGCACAGAGTTAGTTATTGCCACTGCCTTTTATGATGCTTTGGCCACTTAGGCCTTTCCTCCTGAATACTTGGAGCTTGTCTACATTTGGAAATTTACCAAAAAAGTTATTCTAGAATAATGTATTCCACAGTAGGTATAAAATATAAGTATAAAATAAAATATAAACAAATATTATATATATTTATATTAAAAATACAGAAAGTTATGAAAAATCACATAGATGCTTTTATTCCAGAACAAGAATTCCATTTCCTCGATTTAGCTTAAACTACTTTGGAAATGGATTAAACTAGCTAAATGAATTAAAACTAAATTAATGGATTAAATTAACAGAGAAAGACATGCTTATTCAGGACTAAAATTGTCCATGCAAAGGTTCACATATCCTAGAATTACTACATTAGTAAATTTCCAAGGGAATACAAACCTTGCATGAATTGCAGGTAGTAGGCCTGTCTTCACAGCTAAAGAAAAAATGTTATAAGGGAACCTGGTATTGACTGATATTTTTAGGCTGTCTAACATTTTCTATTAAAAAAAGATTCATCCAACCTTTTCTTTGAGAAGCTTATACACCATTTTTTACAAAAGAACTGCAATATTCAGCAAGCGTAATACATAAGCGGTTATTTGTCCCACAAAATTTGATTTAGATGTCGCCTGTTACATATTGTAATTCCCATCTTTCTATTCTTGTAGAATAATATTGACAAAAATCACTCGCACTAACAAACGTTGGCTTGAAATGCATACAATCCCTGGAACAAGCTACTACAGCAGTTTGAATATGATTGGATTGGGGAGAAAGGCTGTGTTGCCCAAAAACCTCTAGATCTAGTTCATTATACCTTCAGCCAAAGGCACAATATGGATCAGGAGTTGCACCCCAAAACTTGTGCATGAGAGAAAGAGAGCTGTTTACTCCTTTCCTGGGGACAACAAACGACTCATAAAAGGTGAGATTTACAAGAAGCCTAAGAGAATTATTGTCCATCCCCATGGAAATAAAAAGGGCTGCTGTGTTATAGTCAACCGTCGATCCTCTGGATCATGGTGTACCCATAAGAAGTCCAGTCAGATGCCTGATGAGTCCATTTGTGGTGGACAAGCCCAATTTGACAGCAACACAGCTTGTTATAAATCCATGTGTTGTCTGAGTTGGATTCCAAGTTTACAGCACGTTGATTTCTTCTTTCTCACTTTGCTTCCATCCTCTGGATCAAAGTAACTTCAGATTGTGCTGCACCCAGTGGCAGGTGTTCCCACTAGATCAGATGGGATTGTGTGTGCTCCTCCCAGCTTTCTATGTGGATGTTGAATGATTTCACATCATTTTTACATGTCATAGTACTGCCATAGAGGGCGACCCCACTTTCTAGAGTCATCTTAGAATCTTGCTGTACAAAATATTCTTGGGGAAATGGTCTCCTCTCATTCTCCTGGCATGACTGAGCCATCGCAACCTCCTCTTCTTGATAGTGGTTTCTAGGTGTGTCAGTCCTATTCGCTCCAGCACCCATGTTTGGTATTTTGTCCTCCCACTTTATTTTCAGGATCTTACACAGTCACTCATGTAGAAGCTGTTCAATCCCTTGATGTGCCTAGAACACGTAGTTCACATTTCTGAACCATAAAGCAGGGATGAAAGCATGGAAGTCTTTTAGATTTGCATCTTCACCTTAGTAGATAGTTTGTTATTATTCTATGCACATATCTGTAATAGTCCAGAATTCTTAGCTGCTTTTTCAATTCTGTTAGTCTGTTCAGTCTAAAAGTGAAGATTCCCGATGACCATCAAACCCAAGTAACAAAAGCTGTTGACAGTACCAAGAGATTTGCCCTCCAGAATGATGTCATGTATTGGTTCTTCAGCCCCTTGGTATGTGACCACAGTCTTCTTGAGACTAACTGTCAACCCAAAACGCTTGCATGACTCAGAAAATCTGCCCAAGAGATTTTGCAGGGAAGAGTCACTGTGGGCAACCAAGGCCACACCATCTGCAAACACATCTATTTTTTTCTGGACAATTTACTAGTATTCTGAAGGAGAGATTAAGTAAAAAATTCATGGTCACAGTACAAGAACTGCCAGACACTGAATTCAAAGCTACATTCATTCTAGAATGCGTAAGTATATAACATCAGATGTGATTTTTAGAATAGTGGGACTCAACCTTTTGGCCCCATAGGCCAGATGAGGCACATGGTGCCTGTCTGCAGACTGAATCAGACCCCTCCTGCTGGGATTAGGTCCTGGGGCCTTGTGCCATCCCTGCCTGCTGAGATTGGACCCCAGACACATCTGCCACCCCGGCCAGCCTTGTGTGCCAGGGCTATGCTTCGGGTCCCCTTATTATGCCCAAGTGCCAGGATCAGGTCCCCCATCATCCTGCATGCCTGATCTGGCATGCAGGGCCATGGCCTAGGCTCTCCATATACTTGTGATGATGACATGGCACCACAAGCTGGATCTGGCCTGCGGTCCAGGCATTAAGCACCCTATTTTAGAATGTAAGAATTTAAGAAGCCCCATGCTGAGTCAGACCAATGGTCTATCTAGCCCACTATCCTTTCACTGACAGTGGCAGTAGCAGATGCTTTAGAGAGAACTGAACAAGTTATATCTAGAGTGCCCACTAACTTAGCTCTGTAAGATCTTTCTGCAGCTCTTCTCCATCAGCTTGGAATTTGACTATCTGGAATAATGTAGTATCATTCCCAAATTTAGAGATTTCACTGTACACCCCCATTTCTAGGTCATTAATGAAAATGTTGAACAAAACTGTGCCCAGCACAGATCATTGTGGTACCCACTTTTAACTTCTTTCCTTCCTGAAATTGTGACCATTAGACTCTACTCTTTGTTTCCGATCTTTCAACCAGTTCTTGAGCCACAAAACAACCTTTTCCTCTAATCCTCTGGCAACTCGGGTGTTGTAAAAGGCTTTGGTGATGGACCTTGTCAAAAACTTCAGGAAACAGCAAGATATGTAGTCTCATGAAGCAAAGATTCAGTGAAAATTTACCATTTGAGGCATTATCTCTTCATGTTCACATTACCAAAAATTAACATCTACTTCTATTTTAATAAAGTATCATCATGACAGAGTTACAAAGTATCAAAACTTCACAAACACTAACCTTAAGATCTCTCTTCTTTCTTTCACTTTCCTCTCCTAGCCTTCTTTCACTGTTCTCCCTTGGTTGGCTTTCTCTACTTTCACGGTAATATCCTTCTTGATGTCTCTTTGCTTCATGTTTTTCTTCCACATGCTTTTCGAAGGACTTATGACTTGTGTCTTTTGAATGTCTTTCTCTTCCTGCCTTAACTGAATGTTCATGTTCTCTTTTTTCTCTGTGCCTCCTCTCCCTGTCTTTATTCAGTTCTTGATCTTTATGTGACATATGCCTACGTTCGCCTTCATCTCTATATGTTAAATATTTGTCAAGAGCATCTTTGCTGCTGCTATTCTGGAAAAAAAAATATAAATTAGAATTCTTGGAAGATTTGTAATTAAAATAAGAGAAGTACTGTAATTCTATAATTCTAGAAGTTAGGAATGGATAGATCTTCCAGAAAAGCACTTTCTGAACAATATATTAAGCATTGTGTCCAATCACGTTTCACATTACAATAGAACTGGGGCTTCCAATACTACTTCTAAGAAACTGCATATCTCATTATAACTATAAGATCCTGTTTAGATTATGAATTCTTTACAAATAATTTTTACTCTTTGATTTGTTGTGCATGAATTCTGTAATCAAATAGGATATATACCTATAATACTTTATAAAAATAAAGACCGAAATAACAGGTAAAACCTTTAATGTGTATTTGTTAGGATGATGCTATACACAAATAAACTAGAGCAGTTTGCTTTCTGATTGTGTTTAAAGCAAAATGACTCCCTGAAGATTATTTATGAAAATACCTAAAACAAATCAAATTTAAAATGTTTTATTTATGAAATTACAGGATGCTCCTTCTTTAATAAATGCAGTTAAGGAATTATTCAAATAAATACTTGTAAACAACAAACAATATGTAAGAACCTACTATACACATATATTTTGGATTAGTCAGGTGCTGGAGACTTCTTGATTTCCAGTCTGTTATCTTTCACCATTATCTCATGCCATTACAAAATACTTCATTTCTTTGCTCAGTTTACCTTTCTTTCTGTATGACTTCTTTCTTTCTCTTCATCTCTTGCTTTTGTGTTTTCTTCTAAAATATTTTAAATATGAAATTAAAAACATATTTTGTTAGTAACATTCAAGGCCCTAAGTATGCTACATAACAACTTAGACCTCATATTGAAAGCTTATTCTACAGTTCATTGACACAGATGATAATGTAAATAGAACTCCTACCTTCCTTTCAGTAGAATGTATAAACGTAAAATGAAGTTCACATCTATCACCTTCTTAAGGTTTGAATTTATTACTAGCAAAGAATAAAACAACATATATTGCCGCCTAAATTTTCTCCCTGGGGTTGGCTGTTCCTAGGGTTTTTCCTGAAAGATCTCTCTGCTCTTGTGAGAGGCTTTATTTCCTACCGAAATCAAGGATACCTCCACCTGTCAGTCATCAATAAGTAGGAACTTACAGAAATTGTGAAATCCAGAACTGACTGTTTTGCAGGCAATGTCCATGAAATCCACAGGAAGAATAATAATTAAAAAAAAAAACTCTAATGAAAATAAAATGCTGGCTCCCCAGAGAGAGACAGCAGTCCTCATGGCACTGCAACCCAGCTACGCAATCTGACCGAGGTGGGGCGGGGGGACGGGACACGACTGCCCATGTGAAGGGCAGCCCAAGATGAACAACCCTCAGCCATTCAGCAGTGAGGGGTGGGGCTGTATGATGGACAGCCCTTGCAGCTGATCATCAGCAAGGGGTGGGGTGAGAGGCATGGGGGTCTCGTTGCAATCAGCCCATGAAAATGGTGGCTGGCCCTGCACTCTCCTTGAGAAATTGGCCATCTGACTCCTTGTGTTAATTAGACCCCTATCAATAAGCATGCTGTTACTTCATGTAGGCAGGGCTCAGGTACCTAATGGAAATGTCCCATGTATTGCCATGATTTAGTCTGCCATTCAATTAATTACCAAAAATTGTTATTGTCCATACTACCTTCAGTAACTCAGTGAGAGGAAAACTTTTAGGTTATAATCAGCCTGGAAAATCTTCAATTTTTATTTTTAAAGGTACATATGATAGGTACCCAAAGTCCATTGTCTTTATGTTCTCAGCCCATTTTTATCTATAAACACAAGTGAAATACTTCAAAATATATAAAGCAAAGCAAGCCACATACCTAAATGATCCTTGCTCCCTCTCCTTCTGTGATGGCTCTTTTCCCTTCCTTCCCTCTGGTCACTCTGTATAAGCATTTGCTTCAAATGATCCCGTTTTTGTTTTCTTTGTGCTTCCTTATCACTCTCCTTTTCTTTTTCTCTTCTTGTACTATATTTTTCCTTCTCTGCATCTTTATCTTTAACTTTCTCTCTCTCTCGTTCTCTGTGATGATCTTTTCCCCTTTCTCTCTCCCGCAATTTTTCCCTATCTCTTTCACTAGATTTAAATCTTTCTCTTTCTCCCGTCCTTTCTTTGGTCTTTCCTCGGTCTTTGTCTTGATCTCTGTATCCTTTGTAATCAACTGTGTCATGAATCTCTCTCTCTCTTTGCAATTTTTTTTCTTTGTGTTTTTTGTTTTCAGACTGACTATCTGATTGTGATACCTAAAGATTAAAAACAAAAATTAATGCATATTTTTAATTTAGTAACTCTGTTCCTATGGCTTTCTGCACCCCAAAAGATGCACAGATTTTGGAAAGAAAAATGTTGACCAACAGCCATCATGGAATATTCTTTTATTTTAATAAGTAAATTGTAAGCGATTAAGTGGCAAAACTCTCATTGACTCCAGTGGGGCTAGAATTTCTGTGCTACCACAATGCAGACACAGGACTCTCTTTTTTAGGCTATATTCATGGACTATACCAACTAAAACCTCTCTCTCACTTGGCTGAAGAGCTCAGTCACCAAACTTTTGCTGGAGGGAAAAAAACCCTAGTACCTAAACATTTAAGCCAACTTCTCCTGCTTGGGCTGACAGTTACTTCCACTGGTGTAAAAGAACCAACTTATTATACAACATTCTACACAATCATAAAAACAAGGATACTAGCTCTTTATAAATAATATAGGTTAGCCCATGCATACAGCCTCCCCATTGGAATTTCTTTCTTAACTAAAAAAGTATGCAGTAAGTTTGCATTAAGTGACTTGTAATTATTAGAAAACGTTTTTTTCTTAAGACATAATCTAACTGAATCTGAATCAAGAGAACTTGTTGTCTTTGCATCTTAAACATATAATTAATTTCACTAAAGGTGGTCCACAAAACATCTAAACTGATCTCACTAATTTATAAAAAAGAAAGTTACCCTAAGATGTTTCTTCAGTTCATCTGATTTCCAGGTATCTTCTTTGGTTCTTCTCTGGAAAAAATAACAACATTAACAAGCTTAAGGAAGACTGAATGATTGAGTTCAGATTCAAAGAAAACCACTTTCTATATTATTAAATAATAAGTTTTCTAACTAATGGCTATTTCCAACCAAAAATTCTTTGTGCCAATTTCAAGACTATAATTTTTTCATGCATAAGGGATTTAACACACAGCACTTTTTGTTAAATTTTTGAGCACTGAAGTATGGGCAACTGTCAATACTCTGGATCATGGTACACATGCAAGAAGTTCAGCTAGGTGTCTGACGAATCCACCCGTGGCCAACAAGCCCAACTCAAGAGCAACACAGTTTGTTACAAATTTTTAACATGTGAGTCACTATATTTTATTTTGACCAGGATAGATTGGATGGGGGTATGGCTTTTTAGCCCACCTTTTCTAGGGCACACCTCAGGCAAGGCAAGCAGGCCACCCCTGAATGGGGCTGCTTGGATGCCTTGGTAGCTGGTTCAGGTTACTTATACCCCTTACAGAGTCCTGTGACCAACACATCAAGACCTTCAATGTGTATACACAGGCAAGGGTATGGAGGAATGGAGGCTGCCCTAAACCTACCAACCCCGCTTTACACCACCAAGACAGAGTCCAAAGGCCATACTGAGTCCAGATGTTCAGTGCCTCAATGGATGTAGCTTCTGCCAGAGAGCAACAGATAGAAGTTAGGCAGTCAGCAGAGGCTCTCAGCAAGAGCATTTTGTCAGAGTGATGTCCCTTAGCCCTAACTTCAACCAAGGAATATCCACATGGCAGTGGGGGCTAGGGTTTTAAGGTGTCCTATACTCACCTACTCTGGAGATTACAATACTAGTATTTTATGGAGCTACCATGCCACGAGCAGCCCCATCATATTGCCACCAGCTGCTCCAGTCAGTTTATGGCCATACCCAGGACCATACCCAGCACTGGAGTACAACAAAATTAAACTTAAATCACAGTGTATTCCAAACAAAATGAACACAGAAGCTGTTACTTGTGGCTGTGTATATGCATTCATTTCTACCAGCAAAAATTTCAGAGAAATTCTTAGAGGTAGAAAACTGTGTGGGAGGTGCATTCCAGACCTGGGCTGGAGAGCTACACTACAGGGGCCAGGGCCACCCCTGCCTTAAGGGAGCCTATTATTTGACAACCTGTCCTCTCCCCTGCCCTGGAAGGGGAGAGGCTGTCAACAGACAGCCCACGAGCTCTTAAATCACCTTGTATGCAGTCCATCTAGACTGCACATGGGGTGACTGAAAGCCGGAGGAGCAGGGAAGAGGGACTAGAAACCTCTGGCTAAGTAGCCTTTTCTCCAACAGGAGGTAAAGTTGCTCTCTCAGGAGTGGAACTGGATACTAGCTCCTTGAGTCAGGACCATGGAGAACCAAGGGAGGTTGAGAGACCATAAGGCTGAGGTCTCAGAGTGGGAAGGAGCAAGGGCTGGTTTCAGGGGTCTCTCCCACAGATTAGACAAAGCTGCAGACAGTTCTGGGGAAGCATGCCCTATAGGGCACTCTGTGACACATTTACACCTTATACTCTAAAATACAGCCTTAAGGACACACATGATCAGATTCAGAATTCTGACAAGGTTAAGACAGAAAAACTAAATGAGAACTAACAAGTAGAAAATTTTGAAAAGAGAAAAACAATAATAATAGTAATAGACCATCACTAAGCAGTACTGTTTACTGAAGTAACATTTATGGAACCAAGAAGTTGCTTGAAAACCACTAAAATGGATCATAACTGTCCTCTAAAATACATTAAAATAAATACTAAAAGACTGAGAAAAACTGATAGAGAAGAACATGTATATTGAACAAAGACTGTAAAAAATTAATTCCAGCATTAACCAATTAAGGGATGGCTTCCTGATTTGAATCATATGCTGTACTAAGGTTCCAATAAGAGATCACTTATGAACATTTTTAAACATCTACAACATGTGCTAATCATGTTTGATAAATTGACAAATTATTCATCATGTATTACATTATTAGTAGAATGAATCATAGATGGTTAAAAGCAACCTATTATATACCAGATTTTATACCCATGTATAACAATTAATTAACCATTTAAAAACATTATTAATTGTCTACTATTTATAGGCTATTTATCACTGAGACTTTAATATAAACTGAAATAATTATTTGGTGCTCTGTGACTGGAATAATATTTCCTAGGTACTAAAAGACTTATTGAAAAACTTGTTTGTTAGCATGCAAGTCCTTTGGAATTCAGCTTTACTTCTTTTATCTTCCTCCACTTATAAACTAGAAAAACACTAAATCATTGTTACAAAAGCTTCCAAGAAAAGTACATGTTGTAAGGACAGCCTAAGAAACCAGCTTCTTCCAGTAAAGGATGATCCACATTTGAGCTTGATTTGGAATCCCTGAGAGTTAGAGTGGATAAAACAAATTAAAAATAAAACCTTTTTTAGGTAGATTGGATTACCTTGATTTAAATTAAATAACACTTTTAAAAATAAACACTTAAACATCATTTGAAATTGAGAGCAGGGGACAGATACTCAGCTGGTATAAAATGCCACAGTTCTACCTAAGAAAATGAAACTATATCAGCAGCCTGTCCCATAACGTATGGCAAAAAAGATAGCTGAGCTGCTACTAACTCAGCTGATCAGATGATTTTGTTACTTTTAACAAGCTAAATTAAAGAGCAGGTTGGAAGAGCAAATAAACCTCTTATTAGAGACAGTACCCAAAAATATGCCAGGAGAAGCTACTACAGTCAAGGAAGCAGGGGGAGATCCTTTGTACTCTATAGGTCGGTTTCCATTTATAATACAGAGAGTCTCAGATGGGAGAATACAAATTGTGCTACCTTTGATTCATTTTAACTGAAACAGTAAGAGGCTCATTTCTTCAATTAAGACACACTGTCCGTTAGCATGACTGCCTCTGGCCCTCTGACAATTGGACTTCTTGTGTGGCACAGTTTCACTTATCAGGATAATTATTGATCATATATGCTAGCTAAGAAGTTGAAGTAATGAAACTATTGCAACACATGAATCACTGTATCAATTTTAATGTGATGTACCTTAAGTGCATGTTAAATAGCATTATTCATGCTCTTGTAATGGCATAGCCAAATCATTACATTCACTATGTAAACCTACATAAGTCTAAATATAGCTAAACAAACTAACTGCGAAGTCTAGAGCTCCCAAAGGTTAACGTGCCAAACTGTGATAAAATTACATGATTATGGCATACAGAGATTTAACTAGTTTTCTAGTGAATGCCAGAGTTTTTCATTTTGGTGTTTTATAACTTTTTCAAATATTGCCATAGTAGTACAATATTAATGATAAGTGTGGGGACTGTAGTCACAAATAATAATGTTTCATTTAGACTCCAAGAAACAGACATGTTTCCCTATTTTCAATAAACTACAGTATCTCATTATCAAAGTCTAGATGTGTGGGCCCAATTCGGTATGTAGGCGAGCCCAACTGGGTCCTGATCCTGCTGCATGGGGCTGGGGCCCGGTCTCACCACATGGCAACAGTCCACCCAGGGACCCAATCCTACCATATGGCAATGGCCTATCCAGGACCCAATCCTGTTGCATGAGGCTCCATGGGGCCTGACTCCTCTGTGCAGGGCCAGCCCAGTTGAAGCTGATCCAGCCACGTGGAGCTTAGAAATTTGGTGGCAGGGGAGCAGTGGCAGCTTTAATTGCTAGCACTCCTGTCACCAATTTACCAGACTTGTGGGGAACCCCATGGACTGGAAGATGTGGCTTGGCAGGCTGAATCTGGCTTGCGGACTAGGGGTTGAGCACCTCTGCAATACAGGAATCATGGTGAGGAAATCATAGAAAAATAGGATTGGAAGGGACCTCAGGAAGTCATCTAATCTAACCCTCTGCTAAAGACAGGACCATCCCAGCCAAGTGTTTAACGTTTTCCAGTAATGGAGATTTTACATCCTCTGCAGGTAATGCATCCTCACAGCTCAACCATCCTCATATAGTTACAAAATGTTTCCTAATATCCTATCTCAATCTCCCTTGTTGCAAATAAGCCCATTACTTCTTGTCCTGCCCCTGGGGACAGAGCAAATAGATGATTACTATTCTCTTTATAAACAACTTTTAAAATGTATATATATTTGGAGACTGTTATCAAATTCTACTCCCCACCCCCAACTTTCTCTTCTCTGGATGAAATACTCCAATTATTCTGCATGTGTCATGCTGTCTAGGCCTCCAATCATGCTCTCTGCCGGACCCTTCACAACTGGTCCATGTCCTTCCTGAACCGCCATGCCCAGTGTCAGACACAGGCCTCCCTGGAGGTGAGCTCCCGCACCTCGTATGTGACACGCTTGCCTGCATGTTGCAGACTCACTGAGAAGGGACCTCCAGGGGTCTGGACCAGTGGTGCTCAACCTTTGTCCTTGGCAGGCCAGTAGGGTTGCCAACTCTGACTGAAGCTATTCTGGGAGATCCACCCCAACCTATTATATTAATTTACTTTCTTAAAATATCCTATTAAAATCTCCCGAACCACTTCCAACGGTCACTGGGCGACTGATGCTGATTCCTGGCCAGTCTGGGAGGGCTGGCGGGTGAGCAGTGCCCAGCCTACCCGCAGCCCTGATCTGGGGCACAGGGAGGCCAACCCAGGTGCAGGCCCCGGGGGCATGGCTCAGCCCTGGCAGAGGGATGCGGCCTGGCCGCGAGGGCTGTGGGAGGGAAGGGTCCGGCCTCACCCCCACGCACCGTGGGGAGAAGGGGGCCCTGCTCTGCCTGTGCTGGGGCGGGAGGTGGTAACAGTCACTGGCACGGGGACCCCAGCTTCGCCCCTCCCAGCCTGCAGCTCGCAGCCCCCGGGGGGCCCGGGCCCCGGCCCGGCCCGGCCCGGCCCCCCTCACCTTGTCGGGCTCCATGACGGGCGGGCCGTAACCACGGCAACTGCGTGCGGGCTGCCTAGCAACGGGCAGCGCAGCCGGCGCAGCCGATCGGCCGAGCGCTCGATCCGCCCCTCAGTTCCGCGCCGCAAAGGATTGTGGGAGGGGTTTTGCGTCCCGGGTGGGGCTGGTGCACAAGATGGTCGTTCGGGAGCGGTAGCGCTGCCCTCTGCTCTGGCCCGGGAGGAGACCCGGGCCAAGGACCTTGTTACACTGCTTTGCTGCCACATTTTCATCCAGCCGGGTGACATGGCTCCACGGGCTGCGCTTTACACCCTTGGATTAATTTAGAAATTCGGAGCCAAGGCAGGGCAATTTGATAGAGACATTTAACTCGATTAGAATAGGCAACCCGGATGGTACACGCTGCCCAAAGGCTGGAGAGAGGCAGTACGTTGGAGTAGTTCAACCCTGTCAGTGCATTTCTCCGACGGTTAAGGAAGACACCAGATGAATTATATGTGTAAGCTAGAACATGTGAAGATAACAACCTTACGGAAAACTTGAACAATATAGTAGCTTTTAAGAATATTGGTTCCCTGAATACACCCCTCTTTTGTTTAGTATAACTATATGTATCGACGCGTGCCTCAGCTTCCAGTACAGTTCAGCTCTAGTTAACGACGACTGACTGTGTTATGTTTTTTCCAAGCACACACGTAAGTCAATGCCATCTTATGGCGGGGATGGAAATCACGAGTATGAGGGTGACACTCCGTGGATTTGGCGTAGGGTGTTTCAAAACCAAAGCTCACACACTAGTCATAAAAAATTCACTAGCAAGTAGGAATGCAAGTCTGGAGATCTCACGTCTGATAGAATTTAAAATCCATTGGATCTGATCTTTAGACATTATAATTGTAATTTAAAATTAATTTTACATTTGCATTGTGGGCAAGTAATACAATGTGTTAGCAGTTTTTACTACTAAATGATGAAAACAAGAATTAATGAGTGTTTTTTAGAACATTTTCCTTATAGGCACTGAAAAGTACAACTAACTTAAATCACTAGTGGGTATAGAAGCATAGTGCCGCTATGAAGAAAATGAAATGGTAACATTAGTAGTGCTAGGATTACATATACATTTTGTATATGTACTAAAAAGAAACTATTAAAGACACCATAACATCTGAATGTGAAGGAAAGATAGGAATCATACTAAGAAACCATAAGGAGCTCTGTAATAAGCTGTAAATAAAACAATACAAAAGTGGAAACAAGGGTAAAAATATATATAGATAAATATAAAGGAGTAGTTCAAGCATATAGGGATAAAAAAAATCAGCAAGGCTGAGGTGCAAAATGAGTTTCAGAGAAGAGAAAAAGTTGTATACATAAACTAGAAGTAAAAGGAAAAGGAAACTGCACATCTATTAACAGGGAAGGAGTAGGAAAGCTGTAATTGATCTTGAGAGGGTTGAAGTATTCAATGCCTTTTTTGCTTTGCTCTTCACAAAGGTTAACTGTAACCACAGACGTACTTAATTCTCACAAGGAGCTAGGAGTGCTGAGTTGAATAAGGAAATAGCAGGTTAAAGAAGTTAGATAATAAAAAAGTATTTAGATAATACAGGTTTATTCAAATTTGTAAAATCTGATTAAATTAACCCTAGAGTGCTTAATGAACCAGCCAAAGTAATCTCTGAAGCTGGTAATTATCTTCCAAACCTCATAGAAGATGTCTGGAGAATGGCAAATGTAGTATCTATCTTGGAAAAAAGAAGTACCCAAGTATTTATAAATCAATTGGCCTAACTTTGTCTCTATTAAATTTCTGGAACAAATTATTAAACAACTGTGATGTCAGGGGCCCTATGGGTGATACGGCTTGCCGGTAATGTAGCCCCTCCCCTTGACTCGCCTG